TAGTTGCGGCACGCTATGATGGCCGTTTTGACATATTACAATAGTGATGTGAAATGTCAATTTATTCTCGAAAAAAATATAATGAAATCTATAAGTTTTTATTGGAAGTAGTTAGTACCTGATTAAAAAGGTTTAATAAAACAAAAATATAAATGCTTACTTAATATATTTGAAGGATCTGAATATTGGAATGAAAATAAATATACATACTTTATAGTGCATATAAAGTATGTATATTCATTTTCATTGCCAGACCTTGCACCTACCGACTATTACTTTTTCCAGAATTTAGACAACTTTTTAGTGGGTAAAAAATTCAATTCCCGAGAGGCAGTACAAAATGCCTTTGAAGAGTTTGTTGCCTCCCGTCCGGCTGATTTTTACAAGAAGGGCATCAATAAACTGCCAAAGCGTTGGCAAAGATGCGTCGATTGCATGGGTGATTACTTCGAATAGCAGAAATAAAAAAGTTTGAAAAAATAAGTACTTTCACTTATTGCATACAAAACGGTAATATAATAGGTAAAGACCTAATATATATAGTTTAGAAATCAATGTAACAAATAAATTTTGTGTCCTAAAATAATACATTCGATAAATTTTATGACTAACAGCACGTCACTATTGACAATAAAGAACAGTAATTTGGTCCTTCAAATGTAATTACTAATTAATACGAAACTTCATGAGTGGACAAACGTCAAAACAGCCATCATAGCGTGCCGGTAGTATATATAAAAATGTTATATTAGTTTGTGTACGCTTTATTCTGCACCGATTGAGCTCAAATTTTGACACGATATACAACCATGGTTTTTCAATTTGGTTTTTATCTGTTTTTTTTTTATTAACCACAATGCTCCACAGCGAATCGAGGAAGGAAGCAGATAGTAGATTATAATAATAGTGTCGTATTTTTTGTCATGGATCATTATCGTCAAAATTTGTTTGAAAAGACAGAGTTTAAAACCTCTACAACACAGAATATCTATATATTATTTATTATCATATTTTAGATTTAAAATTGCGTAAAATTTCTTGGATGGTAACTTTAATTCTGCTTTTTACCTTAAAAATTACCGTCATCCATCATCGAGTACCCCTCGTATCTCAACAATAACATTTATCAAAATTTGTTCAGTGGCTTAAGCGTGAATATTTAACAAACAAAACGTACATATAGACAAACAGAATTAATTTAGCATTTATAATAACCGGGTTTGAACCCACAACACTCGGCGTAGTAGGAAGCGGCGTGGCGACCGCTTAAACCACTACGCCATCCGTGCAGTCATATATAACAAAATAATCCAACGATATGGGACCCAAAGCATGAGGATTACTTTAAAAGAAATAAGAAGATTGATGCATGGTTTCGGATATCCCAAGACTATTTATATTCGCCAAGAGCCGCGAGCATATTGCGGCAAAAAACGTTCGAAGAAATGTATTGTTGTAGGCTCGTTGCAAGTCCACACTTGACAACGCGAACGACAACGCCCAGAACGACTGCGCTCGTTCTGGGCGCTCGTGACTCGCCTACCGTAGACACACATTTATAGTTAAAATAATAACCTTTTAGTGTCTTATAGTTAAAATAATGTACATGTTTTAGCATAGTATTACAAATATACAGTCATGTTTTTTACCCGAAAGAGTAGGCAGGATTACTGTTCAAAAGTGTTGGTGCGTGGAACTTCGTATTACTCCAAAAAGCATTCTGGTTAGTAGTAGGTAGAAGTACCTATCTAATCTAGGTACTTCAATTACTTACTCCTGTTTTAAACATAATTTTAATGTTTTAGTGTCCTCTTTTATAAAGTTCATATATTCTCAGATAAGAGTTCAAGTGATACATTATATATTATATTACCCCGATTTATAAGCTCTTATTAATTTCAACACTTGGATCTTGACCTTAAAGTTTTATTCTAAATCAATTATTCTAAATGTACATATCATACATATCATTTTATAACCCGATGGTTCGTGTGTGTCGTACGTACAATGATTTATTGGCGGTGCACCTTAGGGGTTAATGGCCAATTCCTGAAATTTAAAAACATTATTAGACATGTTTTGTTTTATGTATGATTGTATATTTAATGTATTTTATAATTGTCTTAGTATAAATTTCCTACTTATAAGTAATCCACTCGCGTTAAGAAAATACGAGGGGCATACTGAAAGTCTCTGAATTTACCGACTTACAATAAAAGAATGAAAAAACAATTAGGAATTTTCGAATATGTAACTCTTTTGGAATATGTTACTTTTTAATTTGCGAGACTGTCATTTGGTTTTTCATTGTGACGTCCTCTCGAAAATTGTTTGTCGCTATCAAAATGAATTTAACTCGTAAACATTTTCGTTCAATGATTTTTTATTATTTTCGTTGTGGCTTAAGTCAACAAGAGAGTTGCCAGAAACTTCAATTGGCATTTGGTGATGAAGCACCATATCGTAGCTCTGTGTATTCGTAGTTTAGAGAATTTAGAAGCAGACGTGATCATCTGCAAGACGACTGCGGTTACATACTCTAATATTGTCACCGTGCCACAACTTATTGAAACGGACAAAAAAATTACTTGCCAGCAAATTGTTGCTTTGTTAGGCAGTGGAATGAGCCAAGTGCAAAACATTTTACATTTGCACCTAAAGGTTGGGAAACTTTGCAGTCGATGGATACCGCATGACTTAACGGAGGACGAAAGTTAAGAAAAGTCGACGCATTGTTAAAAAAATTGTTGCCTTTTTTTTCGGCAATTCAGAAGATTACACTACAGTAATAAATAATAAATATTAATAATAATCTACAACATACACACAACGCCATCTAGTCCCAAACTAAGCAGAGCTTGTACTATGGGTACTAGACAACTGATATAAATACATATATACTTTTTTTTTTGTAAATACATACATATTTTACATAGAAACACCCAGACCAAATCAAACATTAAATGTTCATGCACACAAATGTTTGACTTGAGCGGGAATCGAACCCGCGAGCTCTGGAATAGCAGTCCGTTACACAAACCACTACGCCATCCGGTCGTCTAAACAGTACAAGTTATACAGTATAGTTTAGCGGTACAGTTACAGTACCGCTAAACTATCAAAAGACAGTGACTGCAGATTGGTACGTCAACACTTGCTTGCCCAGAGTCTTAGAAAAAGTTATCGAAAAGCGTCTTCGAAGCAATGTCCTCCATTACCACAATAACGATCCTCACATTCCGCTAAGGTAACAGAAGTATATTTGAACGCTTCAAATGTGGAACTAATGACACATCCGCCTTACAGCCTAGACCACGCACCCTGCGATTTCTTTTTGTTTCCTTTTTGTTAAAATTAAAGACAAACTTAGAGGCACGCGTTTTATGAACCCTGAATCGGCGGTGAATGCGATCCATGCAGCCCTTGAAGAGGTCACTAAAGAAGACTGGTTCAACTGCTTTGTGCAGTGGTTTCAGCAAATGCAAAAATGCATTAATTGCAAGGGAATATACTTAGAAAAACAATAAAAGTATCGTAAGTCTCATATTTAGTCTTATTTATCAGAATCCAGAAACTTTCAGTATGCCCTAAGCCATGTTCCAGGTTTTCGTACGAAACGATAATTTCTTGGAACCCGATTGGTCAGGGGGGGCTTGATCAATGCGATACTATTTGTCCACATTTTTTTTCTTTTCTTAATTTGATAAACAATGCAGTCTTTTGTGATCATTCTGTGTACACATAGTTAGAGCTCTAGTTTAAAATATAGGTTGTGGATTATATAAAGTACCTTGTATTAAGTACAGTTTTTTTATATCTAAAGTAAATAAACAAATTATAGGTTATTTGGTATCGTATAAAGTGTATTGGTGAGTAATGGACATTCCATGGCTGAGATCACTGTTACTAATGCAAACTATTCTCAACACAAGTTATAAGCGCTTATGTTGAAGTAGGTAAAGCGAGTAAGTATATCTCATCATCATCATACAGCCTTTAATAGTCCACTATTGGACATAGACCTCTCCTTAGAAAGGAGGTTTTTGCCTTCTATATCATGCTGGCCAGACGGGTTGTTGTAGGTTTTGTGTCAAGTTTTCCTTCTCTTCGTAATTCCGTGTGGTGATGGATTAAGATATAGGGGCAAACGAGCAGACAGGTCACCTGATAGAAAGTGACTACCACCGTTCACAAACGCGGAATTGTATCGGTGCGGAAATATCGCAAACGATAATTTGTTCCACAGATTGGTTGTGCATGAAGAATTAATAGAGATATTTAGTGGTAAAAAACATGTACATATTGCATATGTTGTATAATACACATAGACTATCCTTAGTTTCTTCTCATCTACTGTCGATTTGTCAATCCAAAGATTGCCTGTAAGAGATTGCTTTTAGGGATTAGGTCGCTCATTGTACATATCCATCTGTAATATTTACCTATCATATTGTAATTGGTGGACAAAAAAGCATATTCTATTCTATTTTAATAAACACAAAATTGTTCTAGGTTTAAAATAAAATATGATTGTAAAAGCCGGCATTACTAGTATTAAGAATTATTACAACTTAAACGATTGTACGATTAGCACTGTCATATTTAGTTGTCCTAACTTCATTCAGACTATCGCACATTGAATAAATTAGGTATATCACTGCGACTCAAAAGTTATTTCAATAATTGTATCTTTAAATTAACAAAATAAATTGTTACATTTATTTTAACTTATAACTCCAAACATCCATTACATCCCTATTGTCTGCAAAGACCTTGTTTACATTTTCCCGGCTTTTAAATCCTCACGATGTCCATTGCAATTCATGTCGAGTCACGTGAATAAAAGCTGACAATATCTGTGAGAAGTTTAGCCAACGTTCATTGGAATGCACGGCTACGCGTACTGTATCTATACGAGAGAATAATCTCGTTTTCTGCGGCTTTTAACGAAAGCCTGATACGGAGTCGCAGAGCAAAACAAATAGGTGGTAGTTGTGCACATGCGCGAAGGCTACACACGCACGCGCCTCTGCGACGAGCGGCAGTCGCGCGCTGGTCGTGTCCGTTTCCGCACCTCCGCGCGACGTCGCCTTCCCGCGCTCATACCACGCGTTAAATGGCGCCCAAACTGGGACCTCGCTTACGCGGGTAAGTTCATTACTTAATCTATTATAACAAAACGTTTAGATCTCTTTCTGCGATAAACGTTGGTCCATGACGCAGCATCCGCGAGGATCCCCGAGGGCGTGGTAAGACATCGACTAGGGAGGGGGCGCGGAGTCGGCGTGTTGGCGATAGCGCGCTGTCTGATAAGGTTGCAGACTACTGTCAACAAACCTTTACATTTTAATACATGTAATATTAGATAATAATGATTGAAAATGAAACAAATATAAGCTAGAAGACGTCTCGAAGACGTGTATCTATTGATTTTCTCTTCGCGTTCCGGGTGTTCTCGCTATAGCAGCTTGAGACACAATTAGATATATTGTCGCAGTCTCTTTAGCATTCAGCTGCGGAACTTGATGCTCCAAATCCAGAATCGAAGGTTCTTATAGGAAGGTCAAAAGGAATGATTAACTTTTTCATTCCGTTAATTTTTGTATTTCACCATGTTTTCGTAATAAGCGCATTTGCTTTAACATTTCTCCAAACAGCCCTTTATAATAAACTAGTGTGTAGGCATACTAATGTATTAAGTTATTTTAAAGTAAATAAACTTGCTTGTCACTTGTTTCCTCTTTTTTATCATGATCGATGTGATTTGTAGTTTACGTTTAATCAATGGACATATAAAGTTGTTAACAAACCAACATAATGGTTAAAACCTTTAAGTTTTTAGCGATTAACATAGTGGGGATTAACCCACTAACAAAACTGAGATTGTTGTTGTTTATTGTAGGAATTTTGACTCTATACAGGAAAACATTTCTTTAAATACAGGCATCTGTAATATAGGATTAGGCGTTAACCTCTAATCCGTGTTATATCTATGCTGCAATGCCAAATTCGCGAATGAGGCCTTAGGACTAGGGCCTGTGTCGTAAAACTGCAACAATATCAAGCAGACACTATAAATATTAATTATTTATACCGAACACCAATTGACAATAGTACTTTATAAGAAGCGGTGTATATGTTTGCGTAATACTTAATTTGGATATTTTCTAAGTATGGTTAATCATCTTACAAAAGATAATACTAGTGATAAACGGACATAAGTAAAATTTTGTTTATTACGTTGATTTACATCTATGAAATGAGTAATTCAGGAAAGTTTGGAATTAATTAGAAAGCTATTAGGTCTATAGTCAAAACTTTTGCCACAAAACCTTATTTAAATTGCCTGTGATCATATTTAAACAAAAATATTAAACTAAATATAATATTTGTAAATAAATTTAAAGATTCCTGATACCGCATTTTTCTTCTTGTTCATAGATTTTCAAAAATTCAAAAAATCTGAATACGATATCAATTCAGATTTTTCGAATTTAGAATTGTCTCGGTTCTTTTGAAATTTGAAATACAAATAAATTACCTTTGTGCTGCTTAATTATCAATATATTATTTTGTAAATCCGTTTTTTTCCTATGCTTTCGAATTTCAACAGGATTCCAAAATAAAAATCAAGTAATGATCGTTCAGCAGAAACATGTTATGCGAATCACGTTTTTACAATGCGACCAGTACCACAAACTATTTGTCGACTAAAGAAGTACAAATGTCGTAGAAAAATAGATGAAAAATTACTAGATAAGCCTGTTTGCGTTATAACCACAGACTACGGACCTATGTATTTTTATTTTACACTTTTTATTAGCCGATTCTGTACGTTGATCGCATTTGACAACATTAACGACATCTATCCAAGAGCTAATAATTCTAGGTTGATGTTATTGACTTAAGTTACATAAAAATTAACGTTATTGATAATGAAATAAGGACCATCATTTCTTGAAACTTCACGACGACAGATAACTCTCACCGCAGTGTTTCTTTTTTTATAAACTAAAAAATAGTAGGTTTTTAGGAAAAACTTTTTATCGGCTCTTGGTCTTTTACTCTCAGGTTTAGCAACAAAAAATAATAACTAATGTTAACATATTAAGAAGTAGAATCATAATTCGTCTTAGTTTTAAATAAAAAATGTTCTTTGAATTTAGGACTTAATTACATTTTTATTTAAAATTATTCAATTGAACCACTTGTTTGTATTCTGTGTATTTGAGCATGGCCTCAAAACTGATGATATATGATTAATGATTATTACTCTTTTGTGCCTTTAAAAAGTATTAAAACTCATTTGAAATATAATTTAACTTTCAACTTACGATACGCGCAGTTTGGTGCTTATTAATAAATTCGAATTAAAAAAAAAAGTTATTTGTAATTAGTTAGTCCTTAAAATCATTTATAAATCACTTCAGACGCCTTTTCCAATTTACTTACCCGAACTTAAATATACTTGAGTTGGGTTGGTATCCCTGAGTGACGTCAACAAATTAAGCTCTGCACCCAAAACCGCTCTTAGGATGATTTTCAAGAGTACGTTTGCTTAGTACGATCGGACCTTAAAACATGCATCTATATGTAAATCTTTTTTATTTATATACTTTAATAAAACACATAACTATCATACACATTGGCTTCTTGATCTGTAAGCTGTGGTCAATCAGAGCCGAAATAGACTATGAATCGTTCGAATATGAATCTAGACTTTTCTATTTCAGAAATCAGAAGTAAAATCTAGGTTTATTTACGGGGATATGTTTCCTTACGAATATACAAACTATATCATTTAAGTAACTCAATAATTAATTGTAGTTTAGCAAAATAACACACGTTTTTATGGCAAAACCGAATGGAACAACAAAAAAAAAAAAATGTTAACTTAGCCATAAACCATTGCGGCCAAAATTGGACAAACCGTGGAAGTATGTGTATATTGGGTTATGTATGTATGTATGTATCTTGGGATATTTTTTAAATAATTTATTTATTTTATTCACCAACAGTTTTATATAATAATAATATTACAAGGTACAAAATTACGGTTTTAAAACTACTTGCATAATTAATAAAAATTTACTTGATTAAACGGATGGCGTAGTGCGGTCACCTCGCCGCTTCTTATTACACTGAGTGTTGTGGGTTCAATCCCCACATGGGACAACACGTTGTGTGATTCATATACCTATTGTTGTTCTATGTCTGGGTGTTATTTGTGTCTGTATCATAAATGTGTGTAAAGTCTCCCGCGACGCAGAATATATACCTACTAATATATTAAAATCCTGCTAAAAACATATCTATATTAATATTAAACTATTCGACATAAAGGTATCAAACCTGTAGAGATAAAATGTCAAGGTCAATCGATCATTATAATGCAGTATCCGAAAGACAATCTACAAAAATATCTCAGCGTAAAGTTCTAAATAGGTTGCATAGATTCTCATAATAATACTGGTGGATTAATTTATTATTATATATATTAGTATATATACCTATTTACTTATTATATAGAAATATGAAAATTAGTTTTTGTTGTGTGCACTAATAGATATAAAATCATTAATTTGATTTTAATGTAGTTAGTTTATTAAATTCATCAACCGTCATTTTCGACAGAGGTAATGCACGGTTTTTCATAGTTCTTCACAAATGCATAGTTCTTTAAACAATCTCATTTGTATAGCTTTGTCAGTCGTTGTTTTAAAATAATCAAATTAATATAGCCATTACCTGCTTAAAGTTAAGATAGACGGTAAAATATTAGTTAATTGATTATTCTCTAATAATGTCAATTTTGCAACTATTGTAGATACCATAAGTAAAAACATTTATTTTTCCATTTATTGTGGTAAAATACAGTCATTAACATAAAGCAATATAAAAATATACTTAACAAAAGACAACAAGTACCCAAGCATGGATTTAAACAGTATTTTAAGTACAGATTTGTAGTACATTTTACAAAAATAACTTTAAATAACGTATGTAAGTGACACAACAAAAAAAAAATGTTTAAAAGATATACATACATTACGACATTACTAAGTAAAGGTAAACAATTTTTAGTCATTTTCTTAACAATGTTAAAAGTGTTATCAAAAAGATCAATAAAATGGAAGTCTTTGTTATAAATATTAAGTGAGCGTGTGAAAAAGTTATGGCGAGTTTAATTTCTATGTATTTGAGGGAGAGTGAAGATATTTAGTGTCCGAGATGGACGGACTGGAAGCCGATCTTTGGTTATAAAGTTAATTTTGGAGAGAAGAGACGACGAAGCTATTTTATTATTCAGAATTTTTATATAGAATAATTAGATCAAACTGTTTATGACGGCGTGAATTAATTATAATCTTGTATAAAATATTGTAATTTTTAGATGTCATGTCCGCAATGCCAGATTAGAATCTTCGTGGTAAAAATTTTAAATAACCGTAATTTGATATGCAGTTAATATGAGATTCTATATCAGTAACACCCAAGAAGATAATAAATAAATGTTTATTTCTCCCTCATTACAATATAAACTAATGTACAATGTAGTCATAGCACTATAGTGGGAGACTGGTTTCCAAATTAAGTAAAATACTTTTATTATGGATAATCAGTGATCCGTGAAAAAAATATGTATTTAAACTGTACAAAATTAAAGTTGACATTTAAAATTTAAGAAAATAAAAGGTAAAACAGAAAAGAAACAGAGCGGGTTAGTGACTTTAAATTGTAATAGTATACCTAGTGTTTGAGCGCGCATAAGTGTGTGTTTAAGTATAAGATATGTGTAGGTGGTTGTTCGTAGTCCAGGGTAAGTAAAAAATTTAGACACAATCGCTTTAACACCCGTTTTAGTTTTAGGATATATATCTAGAGATTCCTTTAAGTTATTATATAAAATTCCGCCTAAAAAGGAAAAGATCTATGTCAGAAATGGGAACAGGATGAGGTCGGACTCACGTTGAATTGTTACTGCTTAGCCGTGGTCCTCTCTCTTATTTTTATAATTCTGTATATTCAAATTTTTAAAATCACTTATGTACTCGTACATTATGGAACACAATAAATGATTGAATATCTAACAATCAAATAAACAGTTTATAAGCCGTTTGTTGCGTACTGTTACATCCCTAATTTTGATGATATTGCATAGGAATGCAATACAATATTGCTGACTTGCAATAATAGCAAAATGACGTAAATTTAACATTGCAGATCAGCAATAAATACACTATAAATACCAATCCTTTTCTTAAATTAGTCAGTTATTATTCTCTAGTGCTGATATAATTTGTGGTCTCTGACTACTCCCCAACCTTGGTTGGTTTTCAGCAAGGAATTCTAGAGCAATAATATACTC